ATATATATATATGGAATTTAAAGAATTATATCATTTAAAATTGATTTTAAAGATTAAGATTTAGATAATGCTTGATAAAGCATCTTATAGAATTTATATTTATAAAATTGAATTAAAACAAAAGTATAATTTTCATTTAATTTAATTTAATGATATTTATTAGTAAAATCATATAAAAGCGAGAGTATATAATATTTCAACTTTCAGATAAAACAAAAGTATTAAAATGATTCAAAAAAATCTTTGTTTATTTTTAAAAATTTTAACAGAAGATCCGAAAAAAATATTTCAACTGATGCAAATTCTGCAAAATGTATTCAACTATAGCTTTAACAATCCCGCTCATTATATTATTTTTCAAATTATTTTTATAATAAATAAATAAATAAATAAATAAAAGCCTGATTACATAATTTTCAGTCAATTGTAACTAAAATTGTATTTTTAAAAAAGTAATTACAAAAATCTCAGAATTTATATACATTTATAGTTCAGTTGTTCATTTGTAACTTTTTTATGGCATTCAAAAGGATACAATACTGTTAATTGGCAAAAAATATATATATATAAATACCTGAATTATTATATCTCAATAGGATAGATTATTGCTTTGAAAAAGTATCAACAGAAAAACTTACAATTCTAGATCATTTTTTCCTACTTTTCTCACATCATCTGTTCTTTTCTCTTGAAATTTCCTCTAGTTTTATTTTTCTTCTAACCGGTTTTATTCTCCTTTTCAATGTATATTTTTAGCCTTTTAAAGTATATTTATTCTTAAAAAGATATATTTCAACTTATCTCTTGAGAGTTTTAAGCAAGACGATTTCGTATCGAACTGTTTTTCTTAAAAAAAAAGGAAAAAAAAATCGATTATAGTCATTTCATTCGAGCATTCTCCAATATCTATCGATAAGCATATAAAAAATTTTCTAGTTTTAATTGTAATTTTAAAAATTTTATAATTACAATATAATTAATAAGTAAATTATATCCAAAATGGCGTCGAAATTGATTCGACTTCGAAAATATTTATAGTATAAATAGCGTTAAAATGTCAATTTATAAAAAAGAAAATATTTGGATGAATATTTAACGATTGGATTTTGGCAAAAAATCGAACTAGAAATTGGAAAAATAAAAATAAAAATGGTGAAATTCATCGCGCTCGGGAGCCATTTTAGCTACACGATGTTCAATTCTTCTATCAATAAAAATGGTATTTTTTTTTTATATTCTTGTTGAAGCTTGTGAGATAAAATAAGAGCTGATAGAATCGCTCTGTTATTTTCTATCGGTAAAAAAACACATCTTACATACTTCTTCAAATTTCATTACGCTTTTAAAAGCGAAAAGTCTGGATCGCGTCACTTGGCCCATTTTTTCATAAAATAATTCCTTTAAGAAGGACTTTATTAAATTATGATTGTATCAAAGTTTATAAATAAAAATTCTCGTTTCGAGTATTTTATAAAGAATTCTTATATATTCAAGTATTATTACGGATGCCGAGAAGTTATGATACAGATTTTATCTAAGGTGTTTGTTTACTGTTTTTTATCGTTTTGAATATAAAATCGGAAAATTACATATTTACGTTCCATATTGCTCAGCATAAGATCACTTCCTTTTCTTTCGGGAGAATCGAACTCATGAAATTTTTATTACAAAAAAACGTGTTAAATTCATGATACAGATCGGCAATTGGAATATTGATTTTTTTTTTTTTAAACCGGTTTTGTTGAAATGTTTTAAATTTTTATTACAAAAAAACGTGTTAAATTCATGATACAGATCGGTATTGATTTTTTTTTTTTTATAGATTCCCCATATAGGTGGAACAGGAATATCAGTAGTAGGTCTTAATACAGCTCAATTAAAAAAATTACAAAGATTTCCATCTACATCTAGCATCAACAGTGGAAAATCAGATGTTAATACAGATACAATAGGATTTTTTATTGCAAAATTTCAAAAAAATTGTTAATCATTGTTTACAAGATAAAGTTTTTTTATGTATTACTAGCAAAATTGTTTATTAAGTTGTTGGGAAAAATTTGTATTTTGTTTTATAACAGTCATTAAAAAATATTTATTCAAAAGATTTAATGTAACTAAATAACTAAAGTTGAACATAACTAAANTTATTAAATTTACATCAGATTAATATTTAAAATAAATTTAAATATTATGTAATTTTGATATTTAACAGAATAACGTTAGTTTTTATATTATGACTTAAAAAATTTTTTTTTGATTTGGCGCTGCGGTCGTTTAATTTCTTAGTGTCATGGCGGCACTTTCGCGTGGTATTTTGCGTGAATTTTGATCTCTTTTTAAACTTCTTTTGCGGAATCAAAACAGCTATGACACACTTTTGTACGTTTTTACGTATCAAAACATTACATAATCAGTTAAGGTATTTGGATCGATTGACAGAATTTTCTAGATATAAAGCCAGCATTTCTCTTGTGTATCATAAATCAACGTGGTCAAAGTATGAGACTTTTAAAGGTGCACAGCATCCTCCTCCGTTATTTTGTCAAACGAGAACGGCTGGCCACAGTAAATGGCAAAATATAAGACACATCAAAGCAGCTAAAGATTTGGAAAAATCGAAAATTGCCCAAAAAATTTATCTTCAAGTGAAGAAAGCTGTGATTGGTAAATAAAGAGTAAATTTATGATGATTTTTTTTTAATATAAAAAATGTGTCGTGTTTTAAAATGATCGATTATTATTTTAGAGGCCGGACCAAATCCTAAATATAATTCTAAATTACAGCAATTGCTTGATTTGGCTAAGGATAACAGTATACCAAAAGCAACTGTAGATAAAGCTATCAACAAAGCATTAGTAAGATTTTGTTTTCACGAATTACAACTTAATATAACTTATTTTCAGAAATATATGTTAAAAACATGAGTAAATTTCTCACTTATTTAACTATAGCAGTGTTTTTCAACTACCAATCCACAGGAAAATATTTGACTGTGGTGAATCTGTCAGTTGATTACAGGTGACATTTAAATAATCTAGAGTTACTATACATATTTTGTTAGATACAGTAACCTTAGATAAGTATATATAAGCTTGATTAATAAGTATAATTCATATTCCCATATAGTTAATGTAAAATTATCCATAATTTTATTAGTCGGCAAAGAGAAAAAGGTTGAAAAACACTGATTTCTAATATAATATGAAATTTTTTTTTATTTGTTTTATTTTGTTTTGAAATCTAAATAAAATTCTGATTATAAAATAAATTATTTCTTTTAGAATACAAAACTGACTACTGCACATTTTGAAATATTGGGACCTGGTGGAAGTTTTTTCATAGTTGAAGTTGAAACTGATAACATGTCAAATACTACTCATGAAATAAGAGGAATTTGTCGAAAAAATGGGTTAGTTTATACATTATGAACATTTTTATGGTGTTAATGTTTCTTATCAAAAGCATTCAAATATACTTATAGAATATTATCGGTTTAATTTTAACTCTTATTCAAATAATATAAGATTATAGAAATAGAATAAAACTAATTAGTATATATAAATAGATGTTAACGTCATATATAAGTTAATAAAGTTTTAATAAGAAAAACAGATATTAAGTAAGAATGTTATTAAGATATTTTATATACATAAAATAATATATTTGAATATAAACTCTACTGTTTTTTGTAATTATATTTATTAAAAATATTTTAATGACTTATATCAACTAAATCACAAGTCATTAAATTAATGTCAAATCTATAAAATAATGGCACTAAGTTTTAAAAAATAATTCTATTAATTAGAAATGTGAATTAAAAATTGTAGCATGTGTAGGCAAATCTCTGGGAGAAGTTTCATAAAAATTTCAGATTTTTTTGTTCTCTAGGCATCAAGAAGTAATGAATAGCTTGATTATATTCAACAAATCAATAAGCATTCAGTGGACAAGTACCGCTCACGTGTAACCCCCCCTTTGCGATCAATTAATGTCTAATGAACACCCCCCCTACGGGCGACCCTTCACAAGATATAGCCCCCCCAAAATCGAGCCGAGCGAGATCGCGCTGCGCGTCGCTAACTCGCGTAGCATACACGACTAGGTACGCCCGCGACTATATGTACGTCATTTCCGGTCACGTGACTCCGCTTCCATAGTGTGAGGTTCATTAGACATTTTTTGATCGCAAAGGGGGGTCTACCGGTTGGGGGATGAAATCCCTCTCCCCGAATCGACAGTTTGATGTCTATAATTTGGGGGTTCCAACCCCCTCCTTACCAATTATTCTTTGAAACAAAAGCGAGGTAAACGGGCGAGAGCGACCACCTTTAATACCACTTAGGCTTAATCGACTCTATCCGAGTAAAGGATAAAGGGCAATAGTCGCTCCCGCTCAGTGTAAAATCTCACCGAGTCATCGTTAACACACAAAGCTAATATAATTAAACGATTTCTAAATCTTCGATCATTAATAATTATAAAATAAAATAAAATATTGATACGATTTTCAGTTTCAGTTATAAAGATTACTTAGCAATAATTTATTCGTTGTTTTCGAAAATCAATTTTATGTCTATATTAATATTTCAGTAACGTCGATTATTATTAATAAATAACTTTAGGCTGCCTAACTTTAACCGAAATAATACGTAATTTTATTTTTTTTTCCGTTAGAAAGGCTAAGTAATTTAACGTTTAACGTTATACGACATATTATATAAATAAACGAAAAATAATTTTTAGTTAGTTAATTAACCCCGACAATTCGAATTTTTATGAATTCGTTACGCCCGCCGAAGCAGAAGTATTACGTCCCATCACGTCGCTCTGTTAAAACTCGCGAGCGATAGGAACCGCAACCGCTTCTAAACTCTCTAATCATTTCCCGCTTAAAGCTTAGTTCACACTGAGCGAATATCGAAAGCCAATGCGAAAAGCGATTTTTATTCACTTAGCGAAATTGGCCCATACAACCAAAAACGAAAAGCAATTGCGAATTTTAAGCAGCCGATCATTTGCAAGCGAGCGAAAACGTCGTCTCGAAAAACAAAATGGCCGCTTCCGATATTTCGTCGTTAACCAGCTCGACATTTTTTTTTTTTCATTAGGAAAAATCATCATTTCTCCTTTCGGGGATCAGTTCCGANCTTCAACTGGGAAATTTTACCTCATCCACCATATTTGCCAGATATTGCTCCCAGTGATTATCATCTTTTTCGGAGTTTGCAGAATTTTTTAAAAGGAAAAACTTTTGAGGATGAGAACAATGTAAAAAAAGCTATTTCTGAATATTTTGATTCAAAACCGAAATCATTTTACAAAGACAAGATTAAAAAGCTACCATCAAGATGGCAAGAAATTGTACAAAATAATGGTGAATACATTATAGATTGAAATAAGATTTAATTAAAATTTCTTGTTGCTTTTTTTTGTAAATAAAAATGCTCACGAACTTATGGACTGACCTGATATATAATGCTTTAAATAATTATGACAGAAGATGATCAAAGGTTATGTTTTGTTACAATTTCCAATTAAAAATCTTATAAAATTAGCATTTGTTGTATTTCTTCTTTTTTAAACTATATATTCTCTTATATTTTTAGTGTTTCTAACTTTAAAATTTCTTTAATGTCTCTTTCCAAATACTATTAAACCTTTCATCAATGTTTCTTTATAAATAAAAATTTTTACTGGCTTTTCTTCAAACAGCTTGTATTATAATCCCAATATTCAACAATTAAGTTTAATGAAATAGTTGTCTTATTTTAAAATTAAAAAGAAAAATCGAAAACAGCATTTGATTACACGGGCAAATTAAAAAATTGAATTTGCTAATTTAACTTAAAAACCATCATGAAATTATATATAAAATACTAACAGATTCTATTTGAAGGTCATGATGGACAGCAGAGGAAATAAAAATACTGGCATGTCACTGTAGGAAGTTCAAGTATCAGACAATTTTTCTTATGGTTTAACTAGATTTGTCAGGCATCATCTCTTACTATCTGGCTGAAGTCATGATGAGCTTGAGAAAAAATATAAATACTATAAAAGCTTGTTCAAATTATATAATATTTATTCTAATATACAGCATTCTGTCTACAACTTTTTCAGTTTTACTGCACTGTTTATTAAAGGGTGACTATTTCTATTCTTTGGTAATTAAGAGCAATTATTATTAGAGAAATGATAATGAATGGAATAAATCAGTAACTTTTCACTTTGAAGCTTGTTGTTCAAATAATAATACTCAGGAAACATACTTTATTTTAACATAAGAGTGATAATGCTGAATGGAATTTACAGTGTAAGCCTTGCCTTCCCTGCAATACTCAACATACTTACTATTAGAGGTCACTGTCTATAACTTTTTTTATCTTGTAGTTGCACTTAGTATTAGAGAACACTTTTTATTAGAATATATGTAGTATATATTTAAAATTGTTGGCCATTAGAAAGTGTATATGATTTTTTTTTATCGTCATTGTTCTCTTTTTTAACCAAGTGCCTTTTTGCATTGTGTTACTGTACATATATCTCGTATTTGTTTGTTTATTATTGTTAATTCTTCGCTCAGATCTATGAACTAGAGTGATTTGAAAGCTGTCACTGTTGCAGATGGGATTATGATAAAAAAAATAGGTAGCATTAGCACAGCTGTAAGAAGCCCTTGTAAGAAGGGCTTACACCCATTGTTCGATGGCTTATGATAGAAAAATCAAACTGGAGTACATTTCAAGCATAGCAAGCCAGCATGGATACCCTTCATGCCTTATCAAGGTTCTGATTGCATGACAACACTATTGAAAGACAAGTCCTTTCTACCTGTTACTTACAATAAGGTCCTTACCAACATCTACAAAGAAATATCTCGCTTTACAAGTAACAGAATCGCTTACAGGAGATCACCCACTGTTTTCTCTTGTATCAGAAATGATAAGGACTGATTGGACCAAAACAGTATCCCAGGGGTCTATTCTATCCCTATTTACAATCATAGAGTAGACCGACCTGGTGAATATATTGGTGCTACTGCACATAATCTAAATATAAGGATTAAGGAGCATAAATACACTATTCAGAAAGATCTTTGCACTACTGCATTGGCTTGTTTTGCTGTCAATAATGATGTTCAGGTTGACTTTGACAATGCCTGAATACTATAACAATGCAAGGACCTGGCCAACATCAAATATCTTGAAACACTGGAGATATTTAAAGCATTTAAGAGGGGAATAGTGATTAATTTTAAAGACATGGACACATTATCAGCAGCCTGGAGCAAGCGCATATCTTCACAACATGCGACATTTTAAATTTTTGGAATTTTATATTCTTTTGCTAACATTCCATTTACATCGAAATCTGACGATGACCGTTTAAAACAGAAGAAAACACTTGTTTAGACAACAATTATTGATGGTTTAATGGTAATTGCTGATTTTTTTATTTAAATATATATCAGTAGCATTGTGGTGAAGAGAGACTCCAATATCATCCAATGATGCTAAAGAAGGAATCAAAGAAATGAGAATAGTGAGGAAACAGTCTGCAGAGTGAAATGTGCAAAATATGTCCCAACTGGGAAAAATACAGCTAAGCTGATGAAAGCTTTTAACTGAAATTTGCACAAAACCTACTATTGTAGATTACTAATCTTACAGAAGCAATCATCAAAGTTGCTCAATAGATCACCCTACAGAGGAATGTATTAGATAAAATTAGATATTCTTTTGGTAGTCATCATGTTACTAAGTCATTCCATCTTTTTGATTGTTGTTGTATGCATCTTTTATTTGCTCCTTTATATTAAGTTCACTTTTTACTTTCCTTGCTGTTATGTATCAGGTCAGTCCATAAGTTCGTGCGCATTTTTATGTACAAAAAAAACAACAAAAAATTTTAACTAAATCTTATTTCAATCTATAATGTATTCACCATTATTTTGTACAATTTCTTGCCATCTTGATGGTAGCTTTTTAATCCCGTCTTTGTGAAATGATTTCGGTTTTGAATCAAAATATTCAGAAATAGCCTTTTTACATTGTTCTCATCCTCAAAAGTTTTTCCTTTTAAAAAATTCTGCAAACTCTGAAAAAGGTGATAATCACTGGGAGCAATATCTGGCAAATATGGTGGATGAGGTAAAATTTCCCAGTTGAAGCTTTGGAGTTGAGCAGTTGACGTTGTTGTCAGTTAGCTATTGACAGTTCATGTGGTAT